TGTATGGTGTCCTAGGAGAGACATCAACATTTTTGTTTCATTTTTAAATTTATTTGCATTCAATTTACATTTAATGTATTTTTATTTTTAAAATTTATCTTTTTCTTGTTTCTATTTTGTTTTAAATTATTTTAAAACGTTTCAACTCAATTGGTTTTAATTTTAAAATTAATGATGTCTCTTCTCGGACATGACGATTTAAAAAAAAAATCCTAATGTCCGAGAAGAGACATTACGTCACAGATTAAGTATGACCAGATGTGAAACTTAATAGGACTTCGTCACAGAATAAAGACATACAGAAGGTCGACTCGAGTAACTGCTGCCACGCCATAATTCGTCATGAAAATACTGACGCCATGGTCCTAGCCAGTGCGCTTATGAGAGGCATTCCCCCCTGGACTTCCGCCATTTTGAATATTATCAGGGGGGTGAATGCTTCTCAAACGCGCACTGGCTAGAGCATGGCGTCAGCATTTTCATGACGAATTACGGTTACGCCAAAGTCATTGGAAAATCATAGGGAAAACCAAATAGCCTATTCTGTGACTTTGTGTCCTCAAATTTCCCTAGATGTACATACACGTCATGCTCATGCCATCACATTTGCTAGCAAAATGGCGTCCTGAAAAACACGAACTTTTGCACTTTATTGCGGCCTTTTTGGATCGAAATTTTTGGATTAAACAATCATTGTTGAATGTTTAAAGTTGTTGAAAGCAATTAAAGTTGTCGAAAAGGTGTTGAAAGTATTTTTGAAAGCAAGACGTATTACCAAATGACGAATCATCACGCGAACGACACTTGATAGGAAGATGGCGACTGTGGGACAACTTTTTACTGAAGTTACACATCTCTCATTAATCTGTGATTATATCTATATAGCTCAGTGCATTAACGTGATTTACCGCTGACCAGGATTGTCAGGTGAGGCGCATGCTCTACCCAGTCTCTCTGCGGCAGTTACAATCTCGTTCCCCGAGCCTGCGTTCCTCGGGAAGGAATCGAAGGCTCTGGGATAATCCGTTACCGGAAGCCAAGAATCCTGGCTAAGATTGAACTACGGATTATAAAAAAAAACGGATTATCCCAGAGCCTCGCGTTCCTTCCCGAGGATCGCAGGCTCAGGGAACGAGATTGCGGCAGTTAGGTCAAACTGAAAGCATGGCGAACGAAGATGAGTTCAAGAAGAACCAGAAGTTTATGGCGGCAAAGAGGACAAGAAAAAGAGAACGAAACAAACTTGGAAAGGGTAAAGACCGGCTCGTACCTGAAAAATTAACAATTCAGCGATTGTTAGCTCAAGTTAAAGGATCTTCCCAAAAGTATGCCAGAATGGGGCCTTTAAAAAGAGTACAATGTTTTTGAATGTTTTTACCCTTTAAAATGTTTTTGGAAGACGACATGTGTGCACCACCAACTATTGATGTTGTGAGAAGGGCTTGTATTGCTGTTTTCAACATGAAGGGGTTTGATTGTAATACACTAGAAACTGAGCGAGGACCACCTATCCAAAATCTAAACGAATTAAAGAATCCTAATGGCACATTTTTTGTACGATTCATCCACAAACAATATATAGTCGCACTAAAGGCCCCATTCTGGCATACTTTTGGAAAGATCCTTTAACTTGAGCTGATAATCGCTGAATTGTTAACTTTTCAGGTACGAGAGCCGGTCTTTACCCTTTCCAAGTTTGTTTCGTTCTCTTTTTCTTGTCCTCTTTGCTGCCATAATCTTCTGGTTCTTCTTGAACTCACCTTCGTCCGCCATGCTTTCAGTTTGACCTAACTGCCGCAGAGAGACTGGGTAGAGCATGCGCCTCATCTGACAATCGTGGTCAGCGGTAAAGCACGTTAATGCACTTAGCTATATCGATATATTCACAGATTAAGAACAGATGTGTAACTTCAGTAAAAAGTTGTCCCACGGTCGCCATCTTCCTATCAAGTGTCGCTCGCGTGATAATTCGTCATTTGGTAATACGTCTTGCTTTTAAAAATGCTTTCAACACCTTTTCAACAACTTTCAACATTGATTGTTTAATCCAAGCAAATGTGATGGCATGAGCATGACGTGTATGTACATCTAGGGAAATTTGAGGACATGAAGTCACAGAATAGGCTACACAGTTGCCCAACTTTTTGGTTTTCCTATGATTTTCCAATGATTTTGGCGCAACAGTAATTCGTCACGAAAATGCTGACGCCATGGTCCTAGCCAGTGCGTGTTTGAGAGGCATTCACCCCCTGATAATATTCAAATTGGCGGAAGTCCAGGGGGGATGCCTCTCATAAGCGCACTGGCTAGGACCATGGCGTCAGCATTTTCATGACGAATCATGGCATGGTAGCAGTTACTCGAGTCGACCTTCTGTATGTCTTTATTCTGTGACGAAGTCCTATTAAGTTTTACATCTGGTCATTCTTAATCTGTGACGTAATGTCTCTTCTCGGACATGAGGATTTCTTTTTAAATCGTCATGTCCGAGAAGAGACATCATTAATTTTAAAATTAAAACCAATTGAGTTGAAACGTTTTAAAATAATTTAAAACAAAATAGAAACAAGAAAAAGATAAATTTTAAAAATAAAAATATATTAAATGTAAATTGAATGCAAATAAATTTTAAAATGAAACAAAAATGTTGATGTCTCTCCTAGGACACCATACTGGTGTGACACTAATCCTTTAAGTTCTCTGTTTAAGAAATAGAAAACATACGAATCTACTCATTTCATGGGAATATCCTGAGTCTGCAATCACGGCTTCAACTTTTGAATTGCAGAATAATTAGATGCACTATCTAGTGTATATAAGATATCTATGGTTCATATACTCAGAACAGTCATAACTCATCTACTCGTTCACATGTATCAGAAGGAGAAAGTCGCACTGGAAATCGCAGCAAAATTGCTAACCATATGTGATTGGATTTTCAAATGTAAATTTATACAATTTTAGACCTAATTATAACCTGGAGCAGCTGGGGAAAATGCAACTTTATGCCCTCCGGCAGTAATCCAACCAGCCTCCGTGCAATTCCAGTGCCTCATGCTGAGGGCCTGTAGTTATATTTTTTCCATCTGCTCCCGGTAATTAGCTCTAAAAATGTTCAAAATTCCATTCACTAAAAACACATCTACATTCAATTTTGTCGAGCGAGATGCCCATTTACAGTGTGTAAAGGCCCATTTCCACACAGGGAAATTTTCCGCAGAAAGAAAATTTTGTGAAATGTGATTGGCCGACACAAATTTTCCGTCGGAAAAAAATTTTGAAGTTGAAAATTTTCAACTTTTAACAATGAGATTTTCGGAAAATTTTCTGTCCGTGGAAAATTTTCTTGAGTGGAAATGAGCCTTAACTCATACACACCCTATGGTATCATACTTAATCTTTCCACACCCCGCCGTACTTTACCTTACCGCATACCATACCTTGTATACCATAGCGTACACCGTGCCGGTCAAAAATTCTCACTATTAAGAGTGACCGTATTTGGAAAATTAAGTAATAAAATGCCTTCTACCATACCAGAATAACTTGCACACGTAGAATACACAAATTGTTGAAACGTCGAGTCTCTGCTTGTTTTCTAAGATAGTAATGTAACCACTCAGCACAGCATTTTCACATTGGTACTACCTACACTGGTACAGACCGTTTTAGTAAAAATAATACTCGAAGTCAGTAGTGTAAGCGTACTTGTACCTGATTTTTATAGACTGCGGACATCACAGTCATGAAATACAAACAATATTCTAAACCATATGTAAGAACCTATTCAGCCTGACCTGAACATATATTCAACACATGAAATGGGTCTTCATGAAATGTAAAAATTTGTAAATAGGACATATATTGAAGTAGTTTTTTCTAGTCGTTCTTTACGCACTTACATTCAAATGTTGTTGTCTTATTAGATTTTCGGGGGTGGAAGCAGAATACTTTTACTTCAACATTCAATATTCCTATCTGCATTCAATATATTCCAAAACCATGCAACGGGGGAGATATTCGTTCCATTTATATTCAAATATTCGTATTCTTACTGTGAACATTCATATTCCTAACCCAACTATAGCGCTCACTGCTCATATTCCCAACCCAAGTATTCAGATATTCCTACAAATGATTCAAAGCAGCCTAGACCTAGGGCCTTCACTCGACAGGCGGTTCTTGATTTGCAGGTTAATCGACTTCAATGCGTATGACGTAGGCTGGCAATTCCTTCGCCCAAATTGCCTAGGTTCCAGTCTTCTCACATGAAAAAGCACTGAAACATAAATACAAAGCCTAGGCTGTAAAACTCAGTATTCAATAGTCCGCCTTCAACCCCGATAGATTTGGTTATCGTTACGCTATTTTCTACGTTTACTACACTTTTGTTGAATTATTTGTTCAAAATCCCACTATGAAAAGTTCCGTTACCATATCTCGGAATTAGCGAAAATCAGGTCGGCAAATTTTGTTCGGCGAAAATTTCGCTTCATGAAACGAAAGCAGAAAGCATTTTTCAATAAAACGTCATTTCTTAGAAGTGATTGGCTGGATGAAAAAATTTCCAATACTGGCTACTCTTCGATATCCGTTTCAGTTTGACATTTTGGTAGCATATGATTTGTTATTGAGATGAATTAAATGAACTTCTGTGTGGTTAACAAATTATGAAATTATGTTTGTCTTTAGACAAGAGTAATAGCTCTCAAAAATATTTGCCTACTTGGCTACTCTTCGATATCCGTTTCAGTCTGATATTTTAGTAGCTTACGATTTGTTATTGTGATGATTCAAATGAACTCTGCGGGGTTAACAAATTATGAAATAATGTTTGTCTTTAGACAAGAGTAATAGCTCTCAAAATAATTTGCCTACTTGGCTGCTCTTCAATATCCCTTTCAGTTTGATATTTTGGCAGCTTACGATTTGTTATTGAAATGAACTTCTGCATGGTTAACAAATTATGAAAATTAGTCTTGTCTTTAGACAAGAGTAATTAGCTCTCAAATAGGCAATTCCAGCTGTAGACTAAATTTTGATCTAGGCAAGAAGAACAAAATCCATCGGCACAACTAGAAAGAGCATGTTAAAATTAGTAAAATTGCAAAGTGTGGTTGCGAAGTGTTGTAAAATGCAGAAAATATAGCCCTACGAAATTTGCTAATTTTGCATTAATTTGTATTACGCAAGGGAAAATGCACCACATTTGGGCCGAAAGTGGTGCATTTTCTCGTGCGTAATATAAATTAATAATACAAAATTTCGCAGGGCTCTATTCTTCGCATTTTACAACATTTCGCAACCAAACTTTGCAATTTTACTAATTTTAACATGCTCTTTCTAGCTGTGCTGATGGATTTTGTTCTTCTTGCCCAGATCAAAATTTAGTCTATAGCTAAAATCACCATTCATATCAGAAAATTCTAATAAATTGCAGGTTGACATGACGGTAGGTCAGCAATCAGGCTACCATTGAGTATCACGACTTACTTTTCGATGTGTTTGATTATTATCAAAAGAAAAATAATGGTTTAGTCATGAAATATTAAATATAATCACACATTTGCTTTGCCGTTCTGCTTTGTCACAGAAATGCTTGAAAACATCAATTATACTCCCACTTCTTTCCTACGTCCTACGCAGCTGAGAGTTCTTCCGCAATGAATGATCCGATGCATTCCTGACTCTTTATGATTACGTCAATTTTAAACTTAAATGACATCATGATATAGTATAATTAACCACAATATTTACTTCTATATATTTAATATTTGCTTTGCAACGTTACATGTAATACACTCTTCACCTTACGAGGGGCTCCTTATTGAATCACTTAGTTTCAATATATATGTTATAGAAATTGAATGACAATCATTCATGACGATATTTTTCATCCAAATACTAAGAAATGATTAGAGCTTTCGAGTTCTCGTAAGCTTCTTTGGGCGGTTTTAACGTCGGCTGTTTATCAGATAAATTTTATATCAGGAAATCCGATCAATGCTCCTGTGTGTGCATCGCGGACGTATTTGAGCTTCCACCAATACCCTAAATCCTATTCTACGCAGAAATATGAGACACTGCATTCTTTTCTTTTTTTTTTACTTGGTTACGTCATTTGTAGCCTTGTCAAGTGACGTCAGTATTACTTGTCCTACACTGCTAAATTTAAAATAAAAATACGCTATTATATTGATACGACCCTTTAAAATCGTAGGTCCTAGAAATCAGTGGAAAAAATCCTGGGCCTGTTGTTCAAAACTGGGCTAGTTTAACCCTTGATTAACCTAAAATTCGAAGAACCTAAGTTAACCTAGACTACCTGACAGCTTGTCTATAAATTTGGAAATATTTCTTCAGAGATCTTGTCTGGATCGATAGCAGTTTACTTCTCTGAAGTTTTGAAGTGCACAGATGTACAGAAATACACAAACTAAAACAGCAGGTTAAATTTTAACCCAGGGTTTACGTTAACCCACCTTTGAACAACCAGCCCCAGGAGTCGGTTGTTGAAAAGCTGATTAGCTTAACCATCATTCAGAGGCCAGTTCTTCAAAGCTGGATTAACACTAACCCTCAGTTAAAATTGAACCTACTGTTTTAGTTGTGTATTTCTGCACGTCTGTTTATTTCAAAAGAGACCTTACGATTTTAGGACGGCAACGCGACGACGACGGCCAAAACAAACTCGTTCAAATAAATGGTAGTAAAGATAATTCGTTGTATATTATCAATCGTATGAATTTAATACAGTCTTAGAAGTTGAAGACATGAGTTTTATGTTTGGGAAGAGTTCTGCTGAACCCAGTTTGAAGTTGCACTTGTTGTGGCTTGAAATACAGCCGTTGTGTCAAGACGTGAAAATCTGTGATTTGGCGTTGTAAACAGATCGAAGGACAATGTCTAAATTATTCATATATTGTAATTATTCAATTCTTTTCAATGATTTATTGTATTAGTAGCCGTTGCCGTCCTAAATCGTAAGGTCCTTAAAACGTCAGAGAAGAAAACTCCTATACTAATCCAGACAAGATTTCTAATGAAATATTTCCAAATTTATATACAAGCTGTCGGGAAGTTTGCTTTGAAATTTTGGTTAACCTATTGTTGAATATTTCATTGAGGGTGGGAGGGAAACTCTTTCTAATTTTATGAGATCTTTATCACTGCTCATTCCTTAAGCAACAGGGGGTCTGCCAGTCAGAGCCCCCCTTGGAAACGTTGACTAAAAATAGAACCTTGCTTGCCCACTAAAAGAAATCTTTGGGAAGGCATTCTTAATCAAATCAGGGTTTCTCTCCACACAAAAATAGAAAATAGTTGAAAATAGTCTTACAACTGAATTATAGAAAACGGTGAATTTGATTACTTTTTCACATTTTAGTTTCATTAATTTAATTGATCCTTGGAGTGGAGTCTTCCCTTGATGAATAAAACGTCTGGCGTTAAACTAAAACGATAACGTAGGGCTTATCAGAGCACATGGTCATTTAAAGGGTTAACAGTTAACAGGAGATGATGTGATTAACCCTTTTAGTGGCACCATGACTCTCCCCTTGTCGAGTGAAATCATCTGATGTTAGACTGAGTAACATAATAAAGTAGGGCTCATCAAGGCGCATTGCCACATAAAGGGTTAATAATTACTGCACATTTTTACAATTTATCACTGCGCATTTTCACTTTTTATTATTATTGAATTATTTACAGGAAAAAACACTTCAGTATACAAAATACCACTATCAATGTGTTTCCTGTGCATCCAAAAATAATATAAATTCAATAGTTAACAAAGCTAAAAAATTTTGAAAGGTAAAAGTGCATATTAGAACAAAACCAATACACACATTAAAATAATTACGTCATTTGAGGTGAAAGAGTTTTGAAACTATGGAAAGTGTCTTGCTTTTTAAGCTTACGTGGGGGCTCATAGAGTCTATATAAAGCTTTGCAACATAAAAATAGAATCCCTTTCTGTTTCGCTTTTGGTAATGAAAGGGTCATGATACCTGGTGTTCATATTGTGCTCATTAACTTTAAAATATCCATTGCACTGCACAAATTGGCCTATCACTGCACACTAAAATTAGCTATGTGAGAACTCTGGCACTCTCGCCCTACAAGAGTACCCTCATGGACAGGTGGTCATAAAGTAACTGTTAGGATGGGCCGGAGGAAATAAGGATGGGGCATGAAATTACTATTTTCATCAGTTTGGGTGGGCCATCAATTTGTTTTTGTGCAAATGGATGGGCCATGAAACACATATAGCCTGTTTGCACTCAATGCATCATACCGAGGGGCAATTCACTCCAAAAATCCCGTACACTTCGTCAAAAAATCCGGAAAAAATCCAGAAAAAATCCATGAAATCCCCAAAATCCGTTGAATCCATCAAAATCCAAAAAATCCACAGAAATCCTTCAAAAATCCACAGAAATCCTTCAAAATCCTTAAAAAATCCGCAAATCCACAAAAAATATATGAAGTACTTGGTGTAATTTACTCGTAAAGGTTCTTTGCCACGTTCAAAATGGCGGACAGCGAAAGCTAAACGCTTACCGTGATCGCTGTCATTATATTTCGTAATTATTGCACCACTCTACATTTCCATTTATACGCTCGAGTATACGCTAAGTTTTTTTAGCCTATTACTACTAAATAACAATGACGTTATGTTGTAAAATATAATTACAAAACCAAAAGTTATTCACCATTGTCTTTTACTGTTTTTGAAAGAATAATGAACCTGTTTGAATTTTAAACAAAATGACTGCATGCCCAGCCTTCGTTAGTTTTAGAAGGCTGTGGTCATAGTCCCAGTCCTCTGCTCGACCCTGACGTCCTGGCATAACGTTGACATCGTACAACTTAAGATTATTTGTTCAAAACGTTACCTAGCTCTATAACTCTATAATTAAAAAAAATCCAGAAAAAATCCGAACAAATCCGGAAAATCCAAACAAATCCGGAAAATCCAACAGATTTTCAAAAATCCAGAAAAAATCAGAAAAAATCCGGAAAATCCAGCAAATTTTCTCTTCAAAAATCCGCTAAAAAATCCGGGAAAAATCCGCTAAATCCGCTAAAAAATCCGCGGATTTTTAAAAATCCGAAAATCCCGTACGCTTTTTTGGAGTGAAATGCCCCTCGCATCATACTATAACTACTACACAGCATTTAAAAGAATCAACATTCAATATAACAAAATAATAGATTTAAAGTGAATTCAAAATGAAATAAAAACATAATCCTCAGGTTATTGTTCAGTAATGGCATTAATATTTTGTAAGTCACATCTACAGGCATTGATTTTTAAATATCCACATCCGACCCTTCCTCAGAATCAGATTCTGATGACATAGAGTCGGACTGTGAAGAGATGATATTTCCAATGATTTTTTAACAAAAAAATCTAGTGTACACAGTGACTGCTATAAAAACTGTACATAGTTCATGAAGAGCAGGATGGGTCGTGAAATATTCCAATGACCTACGATGGGCTTTGAAATTTTTGCTAGGTTCTCAGGATGAGCCACCGGGTTTTTTTTTTTAAAACCTATTTTTCCCTCCGGCCCACCCTGGTAGTTACTTTATGACCGGTCCCTTAAGCGCTTGCGTTTCAATATATTTTAGAAAAATTGATAGTCTTTCATGACATATTGATCGTCGGGTTTTTGGTTCAATTACCATTAAGAAAATGATTACGTCGTATGACGTGTATACAACCCGCTTTGAGCGAAATCCCCCATGTGTGTATAACGGAAATTGAACGGAAGTACTTACTTCTCCACACCCCACAGATATAGCCCAAGGTTTAATTTTATGTCAAGTAATCGCTGGAATGACTGATAAACCCTTTGTTTTATAGATAATGTAAAATAAAATTATTAAGGGTACACGCACGGAAAAGTTAAGACCATTTTAAGGTGGCTCGATATATTAATCCTTTATACAAGAACTTTACACTCCATGAAGAAACTCGCGTTCAATGGACAACTTGCATGTTAGACTAAATTTTAATCTAAGTAAAGAGAAGGGAATCAAGCACTACAGCTAAAAAGAATTACATAATGAAATTAGTACAATTGCAAAATTTGGTTGCGAAATGTTATAAAATACGGAAAATATAAGCCTTGCAAAGTTTGCATATTTTGTATATGTTTGTATTACGTGCGGAAATTGTTACCATTTTTCAGCCAAAATGGTAACAATTTCCGCACGTAATACAAACACATACAAAATATGCAAACTTTGCAAGGCTATATTTTCCGTATTTTATAACATTTCGCAACCAAATTTTGCAATTGTACTAATTTCATTATGTAATTCTTTTTAGCTGTAGTTTTTTAGGTTTTTTAGAGTGAATTTTGTATACTGTATTTACTCGTTTGAGCGCCGCCCCCGATTGAGCGCCGCCCCCGATTGAGCGCCGCCCCCGAATGAGCGCCGCATTTGAGATCGAATTTTTTTAAAGAGCGCCGCCCCCGAATGAGCGCCGCACTAAACAGTGTAAAAACTTTCCGCAGTCAAAATGGGGACATTTAGTGACAAAGACATTTAAAACTTGTTTATTTTATTTGTTAAAAGTTCTTATAATATTCACAAATAAAAGTTTTTTAAAGAGCACCGCCCCCGATTGAGCTCCGAATGAGCGCCGCATCTGAAGCTGTGAAAATTTAAAGAGTAACACCACAGGTAAAACAAACGAGTAAATACGGTACACGTGTGTTCAATTCGAAAGAAGAACCATTAAAATATATGAACACCCCTATGTCAAACTGTCATGCTCCTGAATTTTTTTGAAAACTGTATCGAGCCACCTTAAATGTTACTTATAAAGTAACTAAATTATTAAGAGGACACATAAATAGTTTTGTAAAAGATTTCAATTTTTGCTTGTTTTTATGGAAAAATTCTGGAATACAGCATTGTACCTTACAAGAAATAAATATTGAATATTTGAGTTACGAAGTTTCAAATAATGAATGATGGTTTTTATGGTGTAATGGATAAATAATAAATGCAAAATAAGGGTAAAAAATAACAAGCTTGCATGGGCGTATTTACAACAGTTCACGCTCCTAAGGCTAAGCAACCCCGCGAGAAATTGCAGGAAATCGTGAAATCCGTTTTGAAACTGCGTCACGTCATTCGTATGCTTTCACCGTCAAATGGAAACTAAGAATGTGGAAACTGGGCTCGAGTTTCCGGCTAAATTTAGATCGTTCGCTCATATAAATGCGCCTCAGATATCATCAAAGACATCATACTGTGGTACACGCTCTCAAGAACAACGACAAGACTAAATATTAAACTGCAAATATGTCTTCGAAAAAAGGTAAAAAATAATTCTGTATATATATCGGTATGTAATATGTAGTTAATACAGTTTATTGGTTTTTGTCAGTGAACTCGCGAAGCGGCAACCAACGTTAATGTTTATATTGAATTCCAATACAACTCATTAGTCGTGTTTGTAATGAAATATAACTGTAATACCAATTTATACATTGTTTGTTCTGAACATTTTTGTCTATAGTTCCGTATATACCATGTTTCGCATCTTTTAGTGGTTAGAAATTGGTTTCACTATAAGCAATGTCGTATAGCAGATATAATATTAGTCACCATATAGACGTAGTATTAATTCGTTCATTGTATGTAATTTTGAATTTCGAGCCACAGTGTTCGAGCCAAATGGCAAATACGTCAATTAAACGGAGAAGTGTAGTTTTGTTTGCATTCTCGTATATAAAGCACCAAAAGTTTTTGAATATGGTCAAAAACCGACTGATATAGATGGCGGCATGTTCGCATGTTTCACGTTTTGTATATATTAAAAACGCCGTCACGCTTTGTTATTTTCACAGTGCATAGTCATGCAACCCCATAAAGTTTCTTTCAAATGTATACGATTAACACATTGATAAAATACCTATATTTTGTAAGTTATTTTATGGAAAAATATCATAGCGAATTAGTTGGAGAAAATAAGCTTACCGATGCAATTTTGTTGCAGAATATTACATTGATTTATTGTAATATAATGCACATATATAATGTATTGTTAATATAATATTACAATTACTACAGACATACAGCAATATTGCCGACTCTATTTATGTTGGTGAAAATTTCATTCGTGAGATTTATAATAATAATAATAATGATTTAATCGCATTTCCACATCACTATGCTACAAGATTTGCATTCGGCGTCAGGAAGTCGTTTCAAACACGGAAATTCAGCTGTACAGCTTTTCAATTTGAAATACTAAGAAAAATTATTTTGAATTCCTGGTTACCTTGCCTATAATCTATATGATCGTTTATCAATCGTTTAACGGATAAGTATTCAGTCACTATTAAGCCACTACAGGAAATTAAACTGAATTGATTGCATATATTGCGTAATGTATATAGTTGGTGTCCTGCTCTTGATATTGGAAAAATAACTTGAATTACCAACGACCTATATAGGCTAGCCTAGAGCCATAAAATCATGATTATATCCCGAAATGATGGAAACCTTTGCGACACATTGAATTGATTGTAAGCCTGCTTTCCACATGGTCATTGAATGGTCGTAAAAATAGAATCACGATCTTTCTCAACGGTCAGTTTATAATAGTTAGTATAGTTTATACCTGTAAACCACATATAAATCATAGGTATTCTCTAGTTATATAATCACACCGCGTATTTTCAGTTCTAAAATGTTGTATTTCGGCTGATGAGAAAGATCGTGACTCGATCTTTACGACTATGTCATGTGGAAAGGCTTAAGGCTATAAAGCTGGCGATTTTGTGTTTCTGACGGATGCAAATGAGTGATCCCGCACACAAAAGTATAGAGTCGCTTTTCAGAAGTGAACAATTCTAAGTCTTTTGCATGTCATTCGTTCGATCACATTTGTCAGAATTGCTAGTGTGAACCAGGCTTAAGGTCAGGAGTAATTAAGGGTATCTTTTCAAAATACCCATCTAATCTCAACAGTTGGATTTGAGAAGGAAGAGATTTTATTTGAAGTACAATTACATTTAAACATGGCCTTGCTATGAGATTTGTAAGCCTTTTCGGGCAGTGAATTGCAATGGTATTTAAAAACGTCATTCGCCAATAATATTTAGGAATTACGGAGCACCAGAAATTTCCGTGGACATGTAATGACCTGATATTTAGGTCAACCACAAAGAATTGTCTTTGTTAAAAATTTGGCACAGTTAGTGTTTTATCTGATTGTGATTACTATCAATGCAAATTAATATATGCATGCTTTCAATACACACTTAATGTGATGAAAATATTTCTTTTAAATTTATGTCGTATATGCAATAAGTATCGTTTAAATTATTTTATGTTTCGAATGAAAATTTTATACGTTTATTATACCTGACCAGAAGCATTAGCGAAAAATGCGACTATAGGCCTCTGGCAGGAATCCAACCTACGCCCTGCGATTCCGGTGCAGTGCTCTAACCAACTGAGCTACAGAGGCCAGTTGTCGAGCTCTAACCAGAAGTTCATGTATATATATATACTATTTTGGGGCATCTACAAAACCCTTCTACAATTAGTTGTATCGAGTATAGATGGCCAAAATCCTGACTTCCAATGAGCCCAGCTGGATATTATGTCTCTCACCATTACAAGAATCCGAAATATTTCATCACAATATAACAAGGAATTTTTTTTTTTTAATATTTTATGACAATATGACAAGGAAATTTTTTGTAAGATACAGCGCTGAAATGGATTTCAAAACATCTTCAACTAAAAATATAAAATTTTTTTATACAGTGTTTGAATGGGCATCGAAAATTCAAGATAAATTTTGACCCGGCTAAGATTATTAAAACTGTTATGTATCAAAATTTATTTTTTTTACCCCTTGACCTTGCACTTCAAATTGAATGGACCTATTACCTAATAACCAAAATTTTGATCTAGACATGTCCAGACAATAATTTCACCGCAGCTTGAAAGAGCATCACAAAATTAGTAATACTCCATTTCGTTGCGAAATGTTGTAAAATGCGGATAATATAGCATTAGAGAGGTTAAGATACCCCGGTTTCGGTGTACGTGTACGGGTAGCATGATTTTGGTTAGCAATGTTTTCGTCGATGTCTGTGCCTTTACTCGTAATTAAGGTGCACATTTTTCGCATTATATCATTGTCTATTGCAAGAAAACAGAAAAAGTATGATCGAATTACAGACATCAGTAAAACAAGATTACACTACCCGTACACCGAAACCGGGGTATCTTAACCTTTCTAATATAGCTAGGCTATAGCCCTACGAAGTTTGCCGTTTTTCAGTCATTTTGTATTATACGCACGGGAAATTGATACCGCTTTCTGAAAAAAGGTATCAATTTCCCGCGCGTAATACAAAATGAGTGAAAAACTGCAAACTTGGCAGGGCTATATTTCTCCGCATTTTATAACATTTCGAAACGAAACTTCGGAATATTACTAATTTTGTGATGCTCTTTCAAGCTGTGATGAAATTTTTGTCTAAACGTGTCCCAGATCAAAATTTTGTTCGTTAGGTAATAGGTCCATTACACTGAGTTGCCTACAAATAATTAGCTGTGTAAGAATCTAGAACATAGTCAATTAGTCATAGCCATCGCCATTATTTAGGGACACCTTGTATTTGTAATAGAAATCTGGAATATTAATATATTCCAGATTTCTATTACAAATACAAATACAAGGTGTCCCAAAATAATGGCGATGGCTATGACTAATTGACTATGTTCTAGATTCTTCCACAATTAATAATTCAACTGTAGATATCTAACTACCTGGGAGGTTGGAAGATCCTGCTGAGCACACGAGATATTTATTGTGTCTGTTTATATGGATTGTTGATTTGTGTTCCCCTTCAGAGTTTAATTAAATAGTAGAGCGTATAATGAAGATTTGTAGAAAGGTTTTGTATAGATGGAGATCAGTTCAAGTGTGAATTTCAGTTATACATTTGTTAGGCCTTGCCAGGAGTAGTTGAGAAAAATGCAACTACAGCCGGCCCTCTGGCAGGAATAGAACTTGCAACCCTGGGATTCCTGTGCAGCTATAGCGCTCTTATCTAAAGGCTCATGGTTTACACTATCAAAGTTTATGTGATCACAGTAGGAATTTTGTTAAACCAGACTTGGGAAAAAGGTTTTTCTTCCTGACAGCAAAATCCGAAAATAAAAAATTCTTGTGTAAACCAAATGTATAAGACTATATCTGCATATCTAGGTTTCAGATGGTGTGCCGTGTATAGATGTGATAATTAAGTGTATAGATGTGATAATAAAAGTATATAGATGACGCATCCCCTTACACCACTCATCATTTTATCGTTTTAATTGGTTTCCTTGTTTTTTTGTCTTTGACTCTTTGTCATCTATATATAGACCGATTCGAAAAATATTTGTCTTTCTTTCTTTCAAGACCAACAATTTTACAAAGTATAAATATAGTACCATGTATTCTCTTTGAGAAACTAAATCTTAAAAACCACTTTATGATAAATTGAATCATGTTGAAACATGTTGAATCATGTTGCTTTTCAGCCTCTTCTTAAGCCCCCGTGCATGTTTCCCCAACTCAATGTTGAGCACAAGCATGTCATGATAAATTACCAAAAGTTATTTCGCCATTGTTTACAACATTGAACTGGGGGAGAGAGGGTGACGAAATTTGTTTTGTCAATGTGCATTGACCGTTTGCAATATGGGCTGAAGCGATCTCAAGGGTTATGTCCAAGATTATCAGGATGTTGGGCATCCTACTCGATAAGGCCTACTCTGGGATCTAATAGACTCGCCTTGATCTTGAAGGGATTTGTAGGTGTAAATCTCGAGTGGAAATATTAATTTTATCAAGTGAGATACCCAAAGTCCTGATATTTACCCATACACCTTATACATTGGCAATCGCCTTAGTATTTTTTACATGAACTTGTGGTTAGAGCTCGACAACTGTCTCTCTGTAGCTCATGATCAGTTGGTTAGAGCTCGACAACTGTCTCTCTGTAGCTCATGATCAGTTGGTTAGAGCTCGACCACTGTCTCTCTGTAGCTCAGTTGGTTAGAGCTCGACAACTGTCTCTCTGTAGCTCAGTTGGTTAGAGCTTGACAACTGTCTTTCTGTAGCTCAGTTGGTTAGAGCTCGACCACTGTCTCTCTGTAGCGCAGTTGGTTAGAGCTCGACAACTGTCTCTCTGTAGCTCAGTTGGTTAGAGCTCGACAACTGTCTCTCTGTAGCTCAGTTGGTTAGAGCTCGACAACTGTCTCTCTGTAGCTCAGTTGGTTAGAGCTCGACAACTGTCTCTCTGTAGCTCAGTTGGTTAGAGCTCGGCAACTGTCTCTCTGTAGCTCAGTTGGTTAGAGCTCGACAACTGTCTCTCTGTAACTCAGTTGGTTAGAGCTCGACAACTGTCTCTCTGTAGCTCAGTTGGTTAGAGCTCGACAACTGTCTCTCTGTAGCTCAGTTGGTTAGAGCTCGACAACTGTCTCTCTGTAGCTCAGTTGGTTAGAGCTTGACAACTGTTTCTCTGTAGTTCAGTTGGTTAGAGCTCGACAACTGTCTCTCTGTAGCTCAGTTGGTTAGAGCTCGACAACTGTCTCTCTGTAGCTCAGTTGGTTAGAGCTCGACAACTGTCTCTCTGTAGCTCAGTTGGTTAGAGCTCGACAACTGTTTCTCTGTAGCTCAGTTGGTTAGAGCTCGACAACTGTCTCTCTGTAGCTCAGTTGGTTAGAGCTCGACAACTGTCTCTCTGTAGATCAGTTGGTTAGAGCTCGACAACTGTCTCTCTGCAGCTCAGTTGGTTAGAGCTCGACAACTGTTTCTCTGTAGCTCAGTTGGTTAGAGCTCGACAACTGTCTCTCTGTAGCTCAGTTGGTTAGAGCTCGACAACTGTCTCTCTGTAGCTCAGTTGGTTAGAGTTCGACAACTGTCTCTCTGTAGCTCAGTTGGTTAGAGCTTGACAACTGTTTCTCTGTAGTTCAGTTGATTAGAGCTCGACAACTGTCTCTCTGTAGCTCAGTTGGTTAGAGCTCGACAACTGTCTCTCTGTAGCTCAGTTGGTTAGAGCTCGACAACTGTCTCTCTGTAACTCAGTTGGTTAGAGCTCGACAACTGTCTCTCTGTAGCTCAGTTGGTTAGAGCTCGACAACTGTCTCTCTGTAGCGCAGTTGGTTAGAGCTCGACAACTGTCTCTCTGTAGCGCAGTTGGTTAGAGCTCGACAACTGTCTCTCTGTAGCAAAATTGGTTAGAGTTGACAACTGTCTCTCTGTAGCTCAGTTGGTTAGAGTTGACAACTGTTTCTCTGTAGCTCAGTTGATTAGAGCTCGACAACTGTCTCTCTGTAGCTCAGTTGGTTAGAGCTTGACAACTGTCTCTCTGTAGCTCAGTTGGTTAGAGCTCGACAACTGTCTCTCTGTAGCTCAGTTGGTTAGAGCTTGACAACTGTCTCTCTGTAGCTCAGTTGGTTTAGAGCTCGACAACTGTCTCTCTGTAGCTCAGTTGGTTAGAGCTTGACAACTGTCTCTCTGTAGCTCAGTTGGTTAGAGCTTGACAACTGTCTCTCTCTAGCTCAGTTGGTTAGAGCTCGACAACTGTCTCTCTGTAGCTCAGTTGGTTAGAGCTCGACAACTGTCTCTCTGTAGCTCAGTTGATTAGAGCTCGACAACTGTCTCTCTGTAGCTCAGTTGGTTAGAGCTCGACAACTGTCTCTCGGTAGCTCAGTTGGTTAGAGCTCGACAACTGTCTTTCTGTAGCTCAGTTGGTTAGAGCTCGACAACTGTCTCTCTGTAGCTCAGTTGGTTAGAGTTCGACAACTGTCTCTCTGTAGCTGAGTTGGTTAGAGCTTGACAACTGTTTCTCTGTAGTTCAGTTGGTTAGAGCTCGACAACTGTCTCTCTGTAGCAAAATTGGTTAGAGTTGACAACTGTCTCTCTGTAGCTCAGTTGGTTAGAGTTGACAACTGTTTCTCTGTAGCTCAGTTGATTAGAGCTCGACAACTGTCTCTCTGTAGCTCAGTTGGTTAGAGCTCGACAACTGTCTCTCTGTAGCTCAGTTGGTTAGAGCTTGACAACTGTCTCTCTGTAGCTCAGTTGGTTAGAGTTCGACAACTGTCTCTCTGTAGCTCAGTTGGTTAGAGCTCGACAACTGTCTCTCTGTAGCGCAGTTGGTTAGAGCTTGACAACTGTCTCTCTGTAGCTCAGTTGATTAGAGTTCGACAACTGTCTCTCTGTAGCTGAGTTGGTTAGAGCTCGACAACTGTCTCTCTGTAGCTCAGTTGGTTAGAGTTCGACAACTGTCTCTCTGTAGCTGAGTTGGTTAGAGCTTGACAACTGTTTCTCTGTAGCTCAGTTGATTAGAGCTCGACAACTCTCTCTCTGTAGTTCAGTTGGTTAGAGCTCGACAACTGTCTCTCTGTAGCTCAGTTGATTAGAGCTCGACAACTGTCTCTCTGTAGCGCAGTTGGTTAGAGCTTGACAACTGTCTCTCTATAGCTCGATCAGTTGGTTAGAGCTCGACAACTGTCTCTCTGCAGCTCAGTTGGTTAGAGCTCGACAACTGTCTCTCTGTAGCTCAGTTGATTAGAGCTCGACAACTGTCTCTCTGTAGCGCAGTTGATTAGAGCTTGACAACTGTCTCTCTACAGCTCGATCAGTTGATTAGAGCTCGACAACTGTCTCTCTGCAGCTCAGTTGGTTAGAGCTCGACAACTGTCTCTCTGTAGCTCAGTTGATTAGAGCTCGACAACTGTCTCTCTGTAGCGCAGTTGATTAGAGCTCGACAACTGTCTCTCTGTAGCTCAGTTGATTAGAGCTCGACAACTGTCTCTCTGTAGCTCAGTTGGTTAGAGCTCGACAACTGTCTCTCTGTAGCTCAGTTGGTTATAGCTCGACAACTGGACTCTGTAGCTCAGTTGATTAGAGCTCGACAACTGTCTCTCTGAAACTCAGTTGATTAGAGCTCGACAACTGGCCTCTGTAGCTCAGTTGGTTAGAGCTCGACAACTGTCTCTCTGTAGCTCAGTTGATTAGAGCTCGACAACTGTCTCTCTGTAGCGCAGTTGATTAGAGCTCGACAACTGTTTCTCTGTAGCTCAGTTGGTTAGAGCTTGACAACTGTCTCTCTGTAGCTCAGTTGATTAGAGCTCGACAACTGTCTCTCTGTAGCTCAGTTGATTAGAGCTCGACAACTGTCTCTCTGTAGCGCAGTTGATTAGAACTCGACAACTGTCTCTCTGTAGCGCAGTTGGTTAGAGCTTGACAACTGTCTCTCTGTAGCTCAGTTGGTTAGAGCTCGACAACTGTCTCTCTGTAGCGCAGTTGATTAGAGCTCGACAACTGTCTCTCTGTAGCTCAGTTGGTTAGAGCTCGACAACTGTCTCTCTGTAGCGCAGTTGGTTAGAGCTCGACAACTGTCTCTCTGTAGCTCAGTTGGTTAAAGCTCGACAACTCTTTCTCTCTGTAGCTCAGTTGATTAGAGCTCGACAACTGCCTCTCTGTAGCTCAGTTGGTTAGAGCTCGACAACTGTCTCTCTGTAGCTCAGTTGGTTAGAGCTCGACAACTGTCTCTCTGTAGCTCAGTTGGTTAGAGCTCGACAACTGTCTCTCTGTAGCTCAGTTGGTTAGAGCTCGACAACTGTCTCTCTATAGCTCAGTTGGTTAGAGCTCGACAACTGTCTCTCTGTAGCTCAGTTG